GGGGACCAGGGCGATGTCTGACACGGGGTCCAGGACTCGGGGACCAGGGAGGCATCTGCTGTGCGGTTCCTTCCGAGTGGCAGGCTGCCCCCTGCTGGTCACAGGGGTTGATGCAGGAGCCTGTCATCACTGGGAGGCGAGCTCTTGGCTTTAAGCAGAGACCAGAGAGGTGAGTGTGGACAGACAAAGGAGGGGTCAGGCACTTGGCCACCAAGCACTGGACATGAGAGAGGCAGGTCTGGGTCTGCCGGGTCCCTATCCTGTACGTGGCCTCTCCCACCCACTGCTGTGCGTGGTCAGAGGGGACAATGAGGCCTGGGGACAGGAAGTACCAAGTGGTGGACAAGGGTCCTGGGGGACCCACGCAGGATTGTTGACCTCTAGGCCCACTTGTCTCGCTGCTCTGCGCTGCTCAAGACTGGGTAGGGGTGGGTGCAAGATGGAGTCGGCAGGAGATAGGTGTGGGGAGGGTTGAGGGGGTTAGGGGATGGGGGATGGGAGATGGGGTGAGGAAGAAAGGTAGCAAGCGATGGGGTGATGGAGGGGGGTAGAATTGGGCCTGGGGATTTGGGGCTGGGAATGGGAAAGGGTGGGTGAGGTGGTAGGGGACATGGTGGTGGCAGGGGCGGGGAGATGGAGAGGGGTCAGGGCATGTGATAATGAGTGATGGGGCCAGAATGGTGGGAAGTGGGGTGGGGGGCGCTGGGTCACCAGGGGTTGGGAGGACATGGGGTAGTCAAGCTGAGGACTGGGACTGGAGAGGGGATGGCTGGCTCTGTCATTTTACTCTTTGGAGGCAAGGATGATGGCCCTTGGTTGCACGCACTCTGGGCTTGTCATCTGGTGGGGCCAGCTCTTGGGAAAGGACATCGTGCCGGCAAAGGAGAGGCACCTTTCAGGCAGCGGCTGCCGGCTGGAGCATGGTGGGGCCTGTGGGGCAGCGCAGGGCGGAGCACAGTGGTGGTGGTTCATGCGCTGGGTAGTGGTCAACACAAGGATGCCGGGTAACAAGATTCGCCACGTCCAGCGTGTGGCTGGACGGGAGCTGACACCTGCCACGTTCGCCATGTCCAGGTGCTCGTCAACACCTCTATTTCTAGGGCTGCATTGTGTGTGCATGTGGCATAGTTCACACACTCACTTGTGATGGTCACTTGGCCAGCATTTTTTTTCAATATGCCAGGGTTTTATTTACTGACTGACCTGCGGGGGACTCAGCGGCCATCACAGGGAACTTGCCTCTGGTGGTTCAAGGCGCGCTCACCTCCTGCAGGAGGGGAAGGGGAACAGGCAGTAGCCAATGCAGCTTCCAGAACGTTCCCTGGCCGCTGCCCTGAGGTGAGCACCCAAGGTCTTAGTCCAGGCCTGGAGCTGCAGCGCCCACAGGGCCCTCCTGTCATATTCTTTGAGGAGCGAGGCGCTGGGCAGCGGTCAGTCAGGGCTGGGGCAGGGTTTGAGGAAGGCCACACACTGAGAGGGCATGGGTTTTTAGTTCTTTTTATTGAAGAAAAGAAGAGAAAAATAGATGCCCCCACCCCGTGGAGTGGCTGACCACGCCCCTGGAGTGGCTGGTTCCCGCCCCGCGCACTTGGCAAGGCTGTGCCTCAGCCCGGATCGGGGCCCAGGACCTGGAAGGACGTGGGGGCTGGCTGCTTCCCGGGGGAGGGTGTCTAAAAAACAGGGCCAGGCCGGCCGGGCCAAGCAGGTTGGTCCTCTGCGGCGGCCACTGGAGGGCCAGGACGCTGTGGCGCCGCCCGTCCGCTGTCCGCTCCGCCGCCCGTCTGTGCCCAAGGGGCAGAGCCTGAGGCCCCCGGGCCCCCGGAGCCCCGGCCGCCGCGGGCCGCCTCCTGTCCTCGCCGGCTCTGGTCCCTGCACCGCCGAGCTGGCCGGCGTCCGAGCGCCCCGGGCCGCACGGCCGGGCCGCCGAGCGTGTCTGCGCGCGTCCTGGGAGCGGGCAGAGCGGCATCCCTCACGGCTGCTGGGGGCCCTCAGACCTCGGTCTGCAGGTCGATGACGTCCTGGCCCACCAGCGGGATGGTGGCCCCCGTCTTCTCCCACTCCACGCTGCGCAGCTCCAGCGGCGACGGCGGCAGCGGCTCCAGCTCCTTCTTCACCCAGGCCGGCGGGCCGTGCGCCTTTCGCAGGCTCTCCCACGGCCGCTTATTGGGGGTCTGCTGCTTCTCCGGCTGCTCGTGGGGGAGAGTGGAGGGCACTGCGTCCAGCCGGGCCGGGGCAGGGACTGCGTCCCGCACCTGACAGTCTGCGCGAGGCCGGCACTCGCTGCCCAGTGGATAGGGCGGACCCAAGGGCGCGGGACTAAACCCGCCCTCGGCCCCCGCCCACCACCCACCTTGCTGTCCGGGCCCAGCGCCTCCTTGTCCTTCTCCGCGTGCTGCAGCTTCCGGTTCAAGTCCTGGAACATGTCCTGGTGTCTCTTCCGGGTGTGCATGATTTTCTGCAGGCGGAGGGACAGCGAGTCCTGGGGGTCGCGGCCCACCCACCCCCTGGGAAGCCGAGCAGCTCCTGTCCCACCTCCCTGCCCAGAGAGAGGCGTACAGCGCACGGGTCCAGCACTCACCTCAAAGTCCAGCTCGGCGTACCGCGATTTCCGCCGCTGTGGAGACGGGTGCGCATTTGCCATGGCTCCTCGGAGCCCCCGGCCACCCCCTCCCCGGCCCTCAGTGACCCTGCCCGGGAATGCAGCTGCCCAGCAGCATGCTGCAGGATCTGGTCCTCTGTGCCACCCGGAGACCCTGGGAGCAGACGTGTGGCGGGGTGCGGAGGTCTGTGGGCCTGCGCAGGAGGTCGGTCCACAGGACAGAACACCGGGCAGGCTTGGGGCCTCAGGCGGGCTCTGGCCTGCAGTCACCCGAGGCTCATAGCTGGACACTCTCTGAATGACCCCTGTGTCCCACCGGCCGACAGCTACCCCCTCACCCTGCTGCCTATCCTGGATCTGAGCTGGTCCCAGACACGTTAACTGAGAGCCTGTCTGCACCTGCGGTGTGGGCAAGGGGGGGGGGCAGCACCACTCCAGGTGGGGGGGGGCAGGGCTACCGCCCCAGGTGCTCATCCCAGCCTCGGGTAGGGGTGAGGGTGGGGGTACCGCCCCAGGGTACACCTGGGGCCCATCTCCTACAGGCCAGTACCCCCACCAGAAGACAGCCCGGTGGAGGCAGAGCCTGCAATCCAGGCTGGGGCCCCTCAGGTCTGCTGAAATGGGGGCTGGCCCAGTCTGTAGGGACGGTGGTCGACCCAGTGCGGGAGGGCTGAGGAGCAAGGGAGACTGTGGACAGAAGCAGCCAGGACAGAACTCAGGTCCCAGCCAGGCCCGCAGGCTCAGTGTTCACACAGTCCTCCCGGGAGGTGGGCAGCCTTGGAAAGGGGCCGGGCTCAGTGGCAGATGACTCACACGCACCCCCGCCAGCCCCCTCCTTGAGAAGCCCACCCGTGGGACCCTCACCTCCAGGGAGCTCACGGACAGCGTGGAGATGTTCTCGTTCTTGGGCATCGTGCCCGTGCCTGTGCTGGGCCCCGGGTGGGCTGTCGGCTCCCCTGCCTCACCCAGGCTGGGCGGTGCCGACTCCAGGGTGGGCGGTGGGGGCAAGGGCTGCTGGAGG